TTTTTTTTTTTTGTGCCGACGTTTTGGTCTGAATTGGAGATCTTAATCAGGTCCAAGCAGAACAAGAAACAACCATTAAATTGTTTATGCAGCTCTCCAAACAACTTTTTGATTTACATATAATATCTCCATTATTATCATATTTACATATAATTTTTACTGTATTTGAAGAAAAGTAATTACAAGAGATACGTTAAAGAAAAAAAGTTCCATTTTTAACGGTTTCTGTGAAACTATTTAGTTTTAAAAATAAAAGTTTAACGAACATTTTTGTTACAACAACAACCATTAAACTGTTTATGCAGCTCTCCAAACAACTTTTTGATTTACATATACGGTCAATAATATCTCCATTTTTATCATATTTACATATAATTTTTACTGTATTTGAAGAAAAGTAATTACAAGAGATACGTTAAAGAAAAAAAGTTCCATTTTTAACGGTTTCTGTGAAACTATTTAGTTTTAAAAATAAAAGTTTTAACGAACATTTTTGTTATATAGTTCCTTCCTTTTTTTCAAGTTCTTATAATTAAAAAAATAAAAATGTTTTTTTTAAATCGGATAAATAGAAAATAAACAGTAATTGGGCTTAGGTGAGAATTATAGTTTGTCTTAAATGAATTAAACATGATTCTAATGTGTCATTTCTTTGATCCTCTATGAATAAAAGTCAGATTTTAGATCGACTTATCTGCGAAATCGACAGAACATTTAAGTAAAAGTTTAAAAACCTTAACTGTAAAACCTTTAGAGATGGGTGATGCGTACGTAGTCGACTTATCAATTACAAGGATAAAACAAATTTGTCAAGAATTTCAGTCAAGATATTTTTATTGGCCGACGTTTCGACCCTAACATGTGGGTCATCATAAGGATTGAACCCGAGAGTTCTTTTCTCGACTTCGAAACGTCGCCTAATTCAATAAAAATATCTTGACTGAAATTCCTGATAATTTTGTTTCATCTTTACTTGAAAAGTTCTAGTTGCAAACTGAAAACGGAAAAAATATCGATAGTAAAAATTCCGTTTTTCCGTCTCAAGCCCTGACGTTTATTCCAAGGATGTAATTTAATTCAATGAGCGACCCGAGTTATTGTTGTTCTAGAAGTGACCTAAGGAGAGAGGTTTTCCCTAGGAGGTTCTAAGTTTATGGTGTAATGAGTACTGTGGAAAACTTTCCCTCCATTGTTTTGTAGATTCCCTGACATGATGACTCACATTTAATGTGTCCTTTTTGTGGAAACAATTTTCAGCTGGTCATTCTTCGGCATTGTCGCCGCATGTCTTCTTCAATATTCCCAAGTCTCGCTTTTTAAGACGAATGTAGGATGTTTTTGGAGCATGTATCAATTTTAGATTCATTGCAGTGTTTTCCCATTTTTTCCCTCTTATGAGGAGCACAATTCAGGCGAAGCATTCAGTTGTTACGTAATCTCTTGTTTCTCATCCCCGCAAAAATATATTTTAATTATTGTTCAGCAGAATAAAAATAATAGTTTATTTATATACATATCAATTAGTTGTTAACAAAAGTTCAAATAAAAAGACACTGCAAATTATTAAACATTGCTTTATTATTTCTAAATAGTTATATATCAGATATGTGTGACCTGTAATACTACTTCCATTTTCGCTGAGAAAAATGGATTTTAAAAATTATTGCTAATATTAGCCTGCCTTAGAAATTGTTTAAATAATGTTTATTGAAAATAGTGTTCCCGAAAATCGGTCTTGATCTTGCACTTTGCAAGACCAAGACCAAGGCCGCCTAACTGTTGCAAGACCAAGACGAGGACTGGTAAAAAAAATCGATTTTTAAATAAAAATTAAGGCAAAATAGTTACTAATATTTGACAATTTTAGTTATTATATGTTAATAATTGGTATAACCAATATATATTTGCATTTAACTCCTCTAATTTTTCATTCGGGCTTAGGTAGGTTTCTCCGATCTAAAAAATTACAGTAATATCTCTATATTAATAAGCTAATAAGTAACTGCAAGACTGTTGCGAGACTCTTGCACAAGACCCAGACCATGACCAACACTGAGTTTGCAAGACCAAGACTCGTCTCGGTCTCGCATTTGGGGAACACTAATTGAGAAGTATAGACAACTAAATTATTCTTCAAATAATAACATCTGTAGCAATCGTAGTTGTAAAGGTTTTCGAGAATTCAATAACAATAAGAAAGATAAGATTTGCATTAGAACTTATGTTATGCATTTATAACGCAAAATTTCTTCACCAAGTCGTCTTATTTCTATTATTTTTGTTTTAAACAATTTTGTTAATATTTATCTACAAAAAATGGTGGACTTTTTAAGTTATTCGCTTATATAATTCTGCATTCATCCTAATCTTCCTTTTAGGGAAAATAGTGTAATGCTCATAGATTTAAAGAACTTCAAGAAGTAGACTGAAGGCAAATTTAATAAAAATCTTTACAGCCGTTTGAGTTCTACGGTTTGTGATACTTATTTTTTCGCACACCATTTTGTAACGAAAGGTCCGATGGTAATTTTGAGTTCCTCGGATGGCCTTTGATTTTGATACAAAATCTCAAAACAATCGGCCATGTAGTCTCGAAGTTAAATCAGAAGCCGCGGAAGAATTATTTTTATTATATTCATGTGTTCTACGTATCGTTAAACCAAAGCATTAAATGTTAAGGGTGGGCTAACCTTTTTTTATCTCGTGACAATTACAAATGTTCATTATTTAAAATAATAATCAAAGTAAAAAAAAAAAATCAATTTTTCCAATCTGATTATTAAAAACTACACAAAATGCATTTTCTGTACGAGGAATCCTCGTAACAGGAATGTGCTATTTTTCTTGTTAAAACTTTTACTCAACAGTTGTTATCAGTGATATACATACAGCAGTCAACACATCTTTACTGAAGTTTTTAATTTTCAAGCATAAAACCAAAATCGGAGACCTGCTAACATCTCCTAAAATTCTCTCAAGACATGCAGCCATTGACCCGTGCAAAGATCCCAACTAGTTAACTTCTGCAAGAGCAGTACAAAGGACTTGCAGTGAATAGGCGAAAAGATCGACAATAGTAGGCGGTGTATTCCTTTGGTCACGGAGGAATGGTAACCTTGGCTTGGGTTTTTGTGGATAGGGTCATACCATGGCTATAAATATTAATAATGATTTTTTTTTGTTTAATTTCTGAATGATATTTACAACTGTATCAAAGAAATACATTCAGTAAATTTGAACACATGGATATAATGACGTGAGAACACTTGTTGAGATACTATCCAATGGTAGCACTCTGATGATATGTCTACATTAGGAGATCACGGGGCCATCTTCTTTTCATACGCCTCGGAGGGTTATCAGGAATTGAAGAGGAAGCAAGGTTAGAAAGGTTGGGATGATTCTGAAGTTTATTATGGAAGGATAGATATTTGGATTGGGCCAGATCTGAAACATTTAGGTCATTATGGAAGGCTTTATTTGTAACAAAGTAGGGAGCATTGAGGATTTTACGAAATATTTTGGATTGATAGGATCGGATACGATAGGAATTCGATGGTTTAGTAAGCCCCATAGCTGAACTCCGTAAGTCCAAATAGGCCTTATTATAGTCATGTATATGAGTCTTTTATAATTAATTGGAAGTTTAGAGCGTTTGTCTAGTAAGTGCTGAAGTAATCGGAAACGCCGAGCGGTTTCTTGTTGTTTTAGTCTGGTATGAGGTAATAAAGGTTAATGATATAAACAGGAATCAATCAAATTGAGATTTGCCTTTGTCCTCCTAATGGAGGAGAAGAGAAGGTCTTCTTCACATAAACGTCTCCAAAATGCACTGAATTAACAGAGGTCATGTAAAGAGGTCAAACTGTATTATTATAATCATAAAAAATCGCTTTATGATAAAAAAAAAAATATATCAATAGAGATTTTTTTAACCTGAAAGTTTGGAATAAAACTAAGCTGTTGGTATATATATTTTTTAAAACTTTTTTGTTGATATTTCTGTATTTGCCTTTCCAAAGATTAGCCAGAAAATTTTTTATCTGCTCATTTAATTAAATTGTGCTGTAGACTTTTTCGAGTCGATAAACATTAAAAAGAATGAATTTCTGTTAAAAGAAATCAGATTCACGATCCCAATCCTTCTTACCCTTACTGTATATTACATAGGTACGTGAAAGTAAAAATAATAACTGAAAATAAAATGTGTTCTCATCAACTTTAAAAAATGTATCTATAATTTTATTGTAATAAAGTTAATGTTCATTTTTTTTTTAAAGACGGCCTACCAAATTATAAAGTTTATGTACTCGTTCGACGCACCGTTTAACGTTCTATAATTTATTAAATAGTACATTTTTCGCTTTGATGCATCATTTGGGAGATATAGATGAAAAAAAAAATCGAAAAATTCCGACTTTTTGGGCTTTCAAAAGTTTTCCGTTGGTGGCCCGCGTTAGCAATTTCGTTTTTTACATATCGAAATCCATATATATATATATATAAGTTGAAAAAATAAAAACTCATTCTCACATTTTTTGCAATGGATTTCCCGTTTCGATCCTCAATCACTGGCCTAATATTCTTTAAATCAGCCGCCATTTTTGAAAGCAGCGGCTCTGGATCGGCATACAAGGTTCTTTTTACTCAGAATAACATATATTTTCGTAATTTAAAATCAAACTTTCGCCTGCGATGAGGTCGCTTAGTTGTAAGAGTTATATGCCCAAATTGGTCGAGGTAGAGGAACAACGTTGCAGATAACAAATGAGCGACAGAGATAGATGTAGACTATGAGTTGGATTTAGTCAACACTGAGAGCACTTAGAGGAAGAAGTGTTTTTTTTTAATTAACTGTTTTTATTGAGAAATAATACATTCTTAAACTTTTAAAGGCAACTTAATCTAAACTATCCATTCTGTACATTCAGAAATGAATAAATTCATTGGCACCAAATAATAGAGAATTAAATTCTATAGTGCTATATATTATATTTTAGCCATATTGTCCCTTCCGCCATTCCAACATATTACCCAATCACTCCCTGCCCATTTAGGTCCCCGAAGGGACGGGGTACCCTACAACGGTTTCGGAACCGACAATGGGATAGCGGTGGGGTACTCGCTTGTCTTTGTCTAAGGCTTGAAGACTACCTGCGATTCCCTCCCCCTCATCAAGCCATGTGCTTCGTCCGTTTTAAAGGTCCCTTTCTAGAGCTTTCCCATAAATATCCAGTGACATGTCCATCTGTCGCTAGAAGTTCCAGCAGGCCGACAAATTATATCTATCTAACATTCATCTAATAGGATTATATAAATTAATTTTCTTCAAAAACTTGACCAAACGTTTGTTTTGACATAAGTTTGCAATGGATATATGCAATTACTGATTGATCTGTTGCTCTTTTCTACTTAAAGCACACCAGTGAATTTGTGAATTGTTTTTGAATTTGGAATAAAATATCTCAAAAACTAAGAATCGTACCTGCATACTGTAAGCGAGGGATATGGTCAGCATTTCATTCTCTTTGTGGTGAGTAACCAATTATTCAAAATTGTATCTTAATTCGATTGAAAAGGGAAAAAGATATCGTCACTGGTATGCTTAATGTAAAAAAAAGCCAATCTTTTCATAATTCTCTTCATTTCAGTAGGAATTTTCTGTCATTGTAGTAGACAAAACTAGCATTTTATTGTTATTTATTTCGCTTTTATACGTCTGTGGTTGTTTTAGTAGTTATTTGCTTCTACAATTAATTGCTTCTGACTCACAGTACAACAAAACTTCATGTTTACAAACTATCTGATTTCTTTGGATTGTTTGTTTGTGATTAATTAAGATCATCTCTTACTTTGCTACAATTTTATTTTATTTTATTTTTTATCTGATGATTAAAAGCATAATACCTTATAATAAAAGCGTAATAGAGAATTCTATATCTTATTATATCTATCGGTGAGGATGTGATGTGTTTTTGTGTTTGTCCACATATTTCCACTGCATAGGTACTAGGATCGTCCAATATGTGACCCTCTGCAATATTTAGACATTTAATTTAGGTATATCCCTTTCTGAAAATTGAATGACTACAATCCTAAGTGGCTGTTCACTTAACATACATCCTTCATGATGTATAAAAGCCAAGATTATTTTTAAAAATATCTTAGAGTTACACCCTCTTTGTAGTTAGTCGTGACATTTTAAATTGCTCTTGACTCTAAAACTGAATCGTCTTTAGTAGATATTACTATTACAGAAATCATAAGACAAAACAGTTAAGTAATTTTATTTTAGCAACAAATGTTAAATATCTGCAAATATTAAATGCAGCATTTTGGAGTAGTTATGTATTGATAAAAAAAATTTTGGATGTTAATTAATATTTCTTATAATATAATTCAATCAAATAACGGACATTTTTCATTCAACAAAAGATATTACTTTCTATATTCTTTTGTTTTTATTTTAAATAAACAACGCTTCCATTCCTATGTTTTTTTATTTATTTCACTAACATGAAAATAAAATTTAGTTAGTTAATAGTTGTAAATATAAACAAGATGCTTAGTTGTTTTGCAAGACTACGAAAACGAAAACGAAAAATCGAGTAAGTCTACATATTTATCTTAGTTTTTATGCAATTATTTATTTGTACCTGATTTTGTATCAATATTATCAGTTAATATTATAATTGTTGGTACATGTGAGTGATGATCTGAACCGCTTGAGCGTCTTCATTAAAATATACTTTAACAAGTTTTCGAGGCCGTGGTGGGTGGATCGAGATGTTCACCGTTTTAGTATCCTCAAGGAATAAGGGACTCTGTTCGAAACCGGTCTGGGCGAGTTGAAATTTTTAGTCCTTTCTTTCCAGTACGTAAAGAGATTGATCACAAATAAACAAAACAGACAACTACAATTTTTTTAGTATCATTCGTCTTTTTTTCCCTTTCCTCCATTCATTGTAGACCATAAGACAGGAAATACAAAATTATAAAAAAAAATGTGGCTTACCGAGTATTCATTACTATGATGATATTAATTTCAGATCCAACATATTTTTGATATTTTAAGTATCAACATATGGTTTACATAATATTACTTGTACTGGTTAATATTTCAATATGTGATTTATAATTAAGAAAATAATAAACATATTAATTTCATAACAATGTGTTCAGTTACAGGAATATAATTTTTTATTATAGTTATATTATTATTTGTAACTATAGTTTATATAATTGAGACGTATACTATTTGAAGATGTCAACGAATTTTCTTCTCTTTACATCCGATAAATTTTCAATCTGTATCCGAAATCTCACTTTGTTTACACCTTTAACTTTTGTGTCCCCAATCGTTTAACCAAAAATGATGTGATGTTTAAAGTATATATTTACGTTATCGCTATTCCTTATTTCTGAGGACTGCTCGTTCTTCTGAACCTGGTTTTTAGATGAAACTTGAGAGTAATGTAAGAATAAATTATTAATCTTGAAGAACGCTTTTTCGGGATGATTTGTCAGGGAAAAAAATCGTGGCTTAGTCATTTGATACCCATACTGAGAATCTTAAAATCTCAACTCTCCTAATAACTTTTAATTATCGAAAGCATATTTTTTTCTTTAATTGAATTTATTGTTCGCTGAAAAGGCTGACAAATATTGCACAGCCCAAATAGATCATAGACTGCCTTCTTTGACCGTTCATCTTTTATAAAAATATATAATTTCATTTCTGCTTAATTAATTATTTCAGAACCTGTCCAATCCGGTAAGTCTTCACGTTTCGGCTACCAAGGGTCTGTGACCCAGTTAAGTTTTTATTGGGCACTGGATAAGTAGGTGTACTAACTAAACCACGGCTTCCTACTACAGGTTTTAAGGCCCGTTATCTTTCAATCACTCCCGTAGATTGATGTTCTAATTATTTTTTTAGATTTTTTTTTTTTTTGGAGCGTTAGGAGGGTGGGGCGTTTGTGTCGATTTGGGTTCGACGACTTAGGGTGATATGCATAGTTCGTGTTACAACTCCATTTATAACTGTTGTTTTTTTTTTATACAATTTAACATAGTAAATTTTGTCTGTCAAATAAATAGTCTGTGGTACAGACCACTTTTTATCGAATTATTAACATCCGCCTTAAACTTCGTAAATAGTTTCATCTCATCGTAACCTACAACTATTATATTTACGAAAACTCTTGGAAGTGGGCCGTTTTCAATCTGGAGGGGGACAAACTTTGTCAATTTAATTAGGTACTAAAAACTCGTAAGCACACATTTGCTTTCTACTTAGATCTTAAGATAATTTGATCACAAAATTGATAAAAAAGGTGATCTACAAAAATATTGGGCTGTTTGTACTATATAGCCTCATTATTTTGAAATTTTGGTGGTGTAGGTCACTCCAAATGGCTCAATATTTTAGAAGGCCACCTTTTTTCTCGATTTCGTGATCAAATTATCTTACGATTCGAGTAGGAAATTAAATGTGTATTTACGAGTTTTTAGTACCTAATTAAAAAGAAAAAAGTTTGCCCCCCTCCAGATTGAAAACAACCACAATTCCAAGAGTTTTTGTAAATAAAATAGTTTTAGGTTACGATGAGATGAAACTATTTATGAAGTTTCAGGCGGATGTTAATGATACGATAAAAAGGTCTGCACCTATATATATAGTTACATACCTCATAAACTATGTAACTATATATATATATATATGTTTTAACGATCTATCAAAAAGGAATATTTTTAAAGGACTATTTTCAAAGAATGTGATTGCTGAGACATTTCTTATTCTACTATTAATTATTGGCGGGATAACGTGCAAAAATTATCGATTGAGGATTGACTAAATAGGAGATAAGAGGAATCTCCACCATCCTACTGTGGTTAGGATAAGTTTGGTAATATCTCTAAAACTCCCCTTCTTCCCATCTCCTCCCCTCTCTATATGCTAGAAATGACGATGTAGAGAATGCAAAAAAAAAAAAACATGCAACAGTGTATATATTTTTAATTAGTTTTGAAAAATGTTCGATACAAAATAATAATAAAGTTTTAGGAACGTTAATCAGGTAAGTGTTGTTTGAAGCTTCTGCTGCCATGTGCAGTCTAAATCTGTCGTAAAAATTTGGTAAATCAATCCATAAACAGGTGCGTTAAAGAGAATCATTGTAAAAATGTTTACGTATCCATATAATCTGACATTTTGACCTTCTTTGTCTTTTATTCTTCAGAGCAACTTGAACCTAGACATAAAGCACTCTAATAGGCTAATTCTTGGTCTCAGCAGTTTCCAATCCTCAAGTGGAAGAATATTTACTTTCTGTTTTTTCCGACGTTTATTTGATTGACTCTCCTAGGACATATCCAGATTTATGAAGTAGGTAACTGACTCTTCTTGTTAAAAAAAAATCTGGTGCGCGCAACACACGACTTTCACTTACCGATCTACTTTGAATAGAAATTATTTTCTGGCAATGCTGGGCTATTATAAAATTTTTTATTTTATTATAAATTTTATTATAAAAGTGCATTTTAAACGGAGCTAAAGCTTACAGATAACAAGTCATTAAGACCATTATAATTGCAAAATGTCTATTTAATAAATCGACGAGAGGCAATAAAAATCTATTCACTCTATCTGCTTCTATAAACCACAGAATGACTAACTCCAATTTCAATATTTTTGAGTGATGTCATTTTTAGTGATATTTTTAGTTGAAAAAGTTACCTATGCAGACAATGAGTAAGTTGATTCCAGAGGTGGTGATTGCAGTGCTCAAATATAGAACTGAGAATAAAATTATAAATTTAAGTACTACTTTCTTATGAAAGATGTTCTTAGGAAAGACACTTTATTAAATATCTGTAGAAAAAAGGTTTTTTTAGTCTCAACAATTAAAAAAATATATTTTAAATTTATCCAAATTTTCACCTCTTCAGGAAAAAAAACTAAAGAGACCACATCTTTCCTCCTAATTGTCCGATTTTACCGATTTATTTTTTTTTTTTTTTAAGGAAATTCCATAAACTTTAAAAAAACCATACAATATCGACAAAAAACCGTATACTTTTTGAGTTATTCGGAATTTAATTTTAACATCCCTCGTTACTTTTTTTCAGCTTCTTTTCATTGAAG